AGTCAAAGAAGGAAAAAGACTTGGGGGTTGATATCACACCAGACCTGTCTCAGGCAGCACATATCAAGAGGATAACATCAGAGGCATATGCCAGGCTGGCCAACATACGAACGGCATTCAGAAACTTGTGTAAAGAATCATTCAGAACTTTGTATACCACATATGTCAGGCCAATCCTGGAGTATGCAGCCCCAGCATGGAGTCCATATCTAGTCAAGGATAAGACTAAACTGGAAAAGGTTCAAAGGTTTACCACCAGACTAGTACCCGAGCTGAGAGGTATGAGCTACGAGGAGAGACTACGGGAATTAAACCTCACTTCACTGGAAGACAGAAGAGTTAGGGGGGACATGATCACCACATTCAAGATTCTGAAGGGAATTGATAGGGTAGATAAAGACAGTCTATTTAACACAAGGGGAACACGCACAAGGGGACACAGGTGGAAACTGAGTGCCCAAATGAGCCACAGAGATATTAGAAAGAACTTTTTTAGTGTCAGAGTGGTTGACAAATGGAATGCATTAGGAAGTGATGTGGTGGAGGCTGACTCCATACACAGTTTCAAGTGTAGATATGATAGAGCCCGATAGGCTCAGAAATCTGTACACCTGTTGATTGACGGTTGAGAGGCGGGACCAAAGAGCCAGAGCTCAACCCCCGCAAACACAACTAGGTGAGTACACTCCCACTCTCCCACACTCCCACAGTCCCACAGTCTGGCTCCCGCTCTCTTACTCTCACACACTCACGCTCACACACTCGCTCACACACTCATTCTCTAGGAGAGGTACCCGGCGTTGCCCGGGTCTGTATCTCCTATATTTATACATCCATCCATATATTTCTCCGCTCATCCAGTTTATCCATCTATTGTATTTTTAAGTTCATGAATCCAATCTTGTATCACGCCATTTTTACACCAAATATTCTCGTCACTTACTTGTAACACAGTGGAAGATATCCTTCACATCTATATCTACTGAAACATTCGGCTAGGACCATGATATCTTTCAGCGTGACGGGGAACGCGCAACTCTTGCAGGTGTGGTGACGAGGTCAACCTCTGGCGGGAGTAAACTGCTCAATTGGACTGTGAGCTGAGACTTACTGTCCCTGATGATTAGGGATAGCGTTCCCGCGGTCATGGAGAGCCGGCGGCTCTCATTGGTCGGCTCACTTCCCGCCAACTGTCGCGAATAGCACCTAAACAACGCTCTTAACTACCGTCCGCCTCGTTACGGTGTCTGCAAAGATTTGACGCATGATATTATGGTGTGATGAATCAACACTCAATATGAGTAATAAATATGATAATATATATGATGATAATATGATAAACTGACAGGATTTTGTTCAGCTTTCTTTCTTTATTATGCACCTAATACCCATCTCGTGGGCGGTGGTGGAAAGGGTTTACATAGGCACATAATCGGTTCAGGAACTGACCCCCATAGTTCATTTAGCTATGCAAGTGACAATAAACTTATTTCAATTTCAATCTTTTGAAGTTAGTTATACAGCTGGTATTGTTACATTGAAATTGAAATAAGTTTATTGAGGTAAAATACACACAAAGGGATGAGGTACCTCAAGCTATTCTCACCCCGTTCAGTACATCGTGTTAATACATACATAGACACACATCACAAACATTAAACATATTACCAAACATTCTGAGAGATAAACATATACATTTCCTCCTTCACAAGTAGTATGGTATCAGACGTACACACAAATACTTTTATGACCTAGGTATACTGTATAGACAATTTGCAAGAGACATGCAGATAATTCAACAAAATATTACAGTCTTGGTGCAAAATTCTTATATCTCTCAAGATATAAGAGATCTAAGAGATCTCAATCTTTCCGTTGTGACACATCCAGGCTATTTGTTCAGGAGCAGTCCTTATCTCAGTGTTTCTATATACATTAATCAACGGACAATCAAGAACATAATGGGCAAGGGTGGGAGACCTTAACATACCAACGTTATTGTTTAAATTAAACGTTATTGTTACATATCCATGTACATATATATACGATCATTTACACAAATACATATACACATCGATAATTGTTTTATATCACAAGCGATTCAACTAGAGGCTCACAAAGTACAAGCACTTTACATGTATGGTGAGTCACACAGTTACTAGTCTTGCTCCACACCCACCCAACTGGGCGGCAGCTTTAGTCATGCACATTTGACAAAACACGTTTCCGGCGCCATTTTCTCCAAGATGCCAGCTGAATTTCTCCTGAGGCAGAAAACTTAGTGCAGAGTAATTCTGAATAAGGACACGTATAATAAAGGATGTAAAAGTTTCCATTTCTCTTGTAATTTTTTCGAATTCAAATGCTAAGTGACTATATGCCCGAGACTAGATTCTACTGTGCGATTAAATGGTAAATGGCCTGGCATATGACTCGAAGGCAAAGGGAGACTATTATATTTTTTTAAACATTTCACACTGCTATGCTTATCCCACATGCCAAAGGAAGACTATATTATTTTCACATGAGACAGAGATATAGGCAACAAAAAGACAGTCAAAGACAGTCTAAGACAGACTGACATAGACAGCCCGTCCTCTCGAGCATTCACAACATCACTAAACTGATGTACTAAATTGGCCGAACCTAACCAAGGACCCACGAGTAGAAAACGGGACATCACGTCAATTTTGCGAGACGAGACGCTATTGTTTTTAGTGCATCAGTTTTTGCCCTTTTAGGTGATTTATTCGTCAAAAAGCGATGTATTATTCGAGAGTCCGAGTTGATCAGTCAGAAACACACAGTACAGTTGGGTTCATTCTCAACCCATAACAGACATTCCCGGGTTCGAACCCCGGGCAGTACAGAAATGATTGGGCACGTTTCCTCTCACCTAATGTCTCCTGATCAGCCAATAGGTACCCGAAAGTTAGTCAGCTTGTTGTGGGGTTGCACCTTGGGGGAAGGTTACAATTTCGACCTTGAGGAGACCTCGATAATGTATTTATAAATATACTCATGCTGTCTATCCCTGACACAAGTTAAGTTGAAACGGAGATAGGCCTGCAGAGATAGAGGAAAACAGAGAGAACACAGAGAGATAGGAAGAGAGAAAGGGGAAGAGGGGGGATATTTGAGAGGAAGGAAGGAAGGAGAATGGTGGACATCTGGTATTTTTTCTCATTTTTTTTCTTAAGAAAAGGAGAGCTGTGATGTTCATAAACGGCGCCATCCATTTGTATGCGGCGCGTTTCATACCTCAGCTAGTATGTAAACAGAGAGCGTGCGCGTTCCGAGCGAGCCAGCAAGCTAACTATCAGAGCCCGCCAAGCTCGGAACGCTGCTAGTCATGTATTGCCATTATAAGTAAAAAAAGTCAGTAACCAAGCAATGACATTATGTCAATTCCACAACCAAAGCCATCCACAGCAACACAAAACGCCACAGGAAGGAGAGAGATGAAAGTGATAGTGCGAAAGACCCCGGGCACAAGTGGAGATGGGAGAAGAGAAAAGAGGGAGGTGAGGTGAGGGAGAATGGTATTGATGGAGAGGGGGGGATAGGGAAAGATCTTTTTCTTTCCCTTGTTTTCTCTTACGATCCCTTACTTATTCCTATTACTATCCCCCTTATTCCTATTACTTTCCCCTTCTTATTGGGTGGTTATAAATAGGAGCTGGCTCGTATGGGTCAATAGGCCTTCTGCATTTACCTTTTTCTTATGCTTTTATTCCTTTTACTATCCCCTTTATTACACCTTACCTTTCTTACCTTTTGCCTTGCTTTTTCTTCCTTTAAGATTTGCTTCTCACCTCCCTTGCTTATTTTTTGTTCTTCGCCTCCTTCCCTCTTTTACGGGCTCACCATAACCCGTGCTACATGGACACTTCGTTCTGAGTAGCTAAATCTAAAACAACAACCACCACCTTCCCCCTTTTTATGAGCTATTCATGCCTGTGCCACCTCTTGGGTGACTTAATCTTTATCAATCATCAATGTTCCCTCATTTATGGGCTATTCATGCCCGTGCCACCTGCTGGGTGGCTTAATTATTCTTTATCAATCAATCATCTTCCCTCTTTACTTACTGGGATGTGAAGCTACTGAAGCCCTGTGCATCAAACTAAACAATCCAAAGACCAGCTACATTAGATGCACATTCCACAACCTACAATGATTAGAAAAACCATTAAAGAATGGGACTCGCTAGTGAACATTCTGCACCTACATCCGCCACCAAGATAATGTTATTAAAACACGACTAAAACAGAAGCAAAAAAGAAACGGGGAAAAAGGAGGAAACCCCACCTCCATTTAAAACTTTGACCCAAATATCAGAGTAACAAGGTTATCTCGAATAACCGAACTCAATTACGGGCTTACCATAGCCCGTGCTACATGGACATTTCATTCTGAGTAGCTAAATCTAAAACAACAACCACCACCTTCCCTCATCACTTCACTCCTTCATTCATCCAGTTAGAGCCCCGCAACTGTGCCAGGTAAGTCCACTACGGGCTCACCATAGCTCGTGCTACTTGGAACTTTTTGTTTCCAGTAGCTGAATCTAAAACAGCAACAACCTTCCCTCATCCCAATCGTCTTGAGAATGGTCCAAGACGAACCGAAACATCGTCGTCCCTTCACTTTCTAGTGTGTGGTTTGGTCAACATATTTCAGCCACGTTATTGTGACTCCTCGTCTGCATAGGGAACGAAAGATGAGAGGGTACATTAGGGAAGAGAGACCTGGTCATGTACCCCTTGTACACCATGTAACCTCTGTAATGTTGCAAACAATGCTCGGAACATATAACTACCTGAATTTATCCAAGGTTCATCATGCCTTGTAGTATGATTAAAATTAGTCATCATGTTATTGTCATCACCAGACATTACTTAGGTCAGAATAGTAAATGTCTATAGAGTTTTTTGAGTTCTTTGGCATCACATGGTAACATAAATGAGCTGCATTTTCAGTGTATTATTTTGTTCTAGGGCCAGGGTACTCGAGCCCCCTCGCAGCTATGAAGGAGGGCCCTAGAGAGAAACTACTGTGGGTACCCTGCATCAAAACCAACTCTGGAAAACCAGACTACCTGGCCACAATTGATGTTGACCCACAATCACCAAAATTCTCCAAGGTTTGTTTGGCATTTGTTAATAATGTGTAAGGATTACTATCATGTACTTCTTATATCCAAATAGGTAAAATTATCAGGGCAAATGGGGACCCATATGCTGTCCTAGTCGAGGCCACTAAAGAGATAGTGGGCCTTGGGTAAATTCAAGAAAATTTAACTGTCTTTTTTATTGTACACCTCGTACTCCAACTGTGAGCAGCTGGTGTAAGGCTACAAGTTGTTTGTCATCTATTCTTACTGAATGCAAGTACAAGAAAGCTTGTCTAAGGCTCTGCAGTAGTAACCTTTCAATTTTATTTGTAATACATAGTAACTTTTCTATTGTATTTGTAGTAGTAACCTTTTTATTTTGTTTAAAACATATAGGTTATTATTATTATTAAAATATAAAATACAGTGTGCTGTGAATTCTTATTCTACTTTAATTAATCACAAACATCAAAATGACCTATTGAAATGTGTAACATGCAATTGACAAAAATTAATCTCGGAAGCTTCAAGAAACAATTTTTGAAAGGAATTTATTTACTTTGCAGACAAAGGTTCTATTAAGAGACTAAGGTACTATAGAGCTCGCTAAGGGCAAGTGACCAAAGTGTCCTGGTCTTTGAATATCTTGTGATGATGAAGACCATTATACAATTAAATGGAGTTAAAGAAAGCTAGCATACATTCAAGAAAGGGAATTACTGTATTACAAAATTTCAGAATTTCTAATTCAAACTAATTAGGGAAAAGCATTTGACAAAAGACACAATTTAAATAAGAAATTAGGAAAGTTGTTACAGTGTACCAAGAAATGCTGGAACCTTTTCCACTACTTCTTGCAACATGGTTTTGATAAAAATAAATCCTGCCTTACAAACCTGATCACATTTTTGCAAATGGTAATCAGTTATTCAAAGGACTTTCAGTAAATGTAGTTTATATGGACTTTGCTGAAGCTTTTAATAAGGTACCATACAAAGACTGGTAAGGAAATTTCAGTACAAGCACATGGAATAAATACATACTGTACTAGAATGGATAAAACAATGATTAAAACAAAGAAACCAAAGGGTCATCCTAAACAAAATTGAATCTGGTGAAATATGGGAGTGGGGTGCTGCAAGGGTCCATTTTTGGGGCCAACCCTTTTTGTCATTTACATCAGTGACAAAGATGAGAATATTACAAACCACATCATCAAATTTGCAGATGACACTAAGATTTATGGAAAAGTAAATAATGAAAATGATATTCAGGCCTTACAAAGAAATCTACACAAGCTCTACAAATGATAAAAAAAATTGCAAGATGCTTTTTAATGTTGAAAAATGCAAGACTGCATGTGGGGCATAGTAGTGCACATCACAACTATCAAATCAATAATATTGCAGCAGATTGCTGAAGAAAAATACCCTGGAATCAGAATCTAAAGTGAAAATTGCACAAGTGGGAGCTGCATACAAAAACAAAGCTTAGGAATAGTCAGAAGTAACTTTAAATTCAAGAAAAAAGAAGGTACTGTACTGTAGTTATACAGCTGTATAAATCTCTAGTGTGCCCCACTTGGATTATTGTTTCCAAGCATGGAGATCTTATCTGCAGAAAGACGTCTACATTAGAAAAAGTTCAACACCGGGTAACAAGAATCATTACTGAATTAATTCAGCTCCCATACCAGGAACAGTTGAGGGCCACAGGACTAACAAAACTGCAAACCAGATATTACAGGGCTGATATCATTGAAACTTTTAAAATATTGAACAACTTGGAGGATATTGATCCAGACCACTGCTATTAAAGGTCAGATGAAATGTGAACAAAGTGTAGTGGATTCAAGCTCAACAAGCCACAACATAGGACAGAAAACATAGCTATTGATAAGGTTATAAAATCATGGATGCGCGTACCTGCGGAAGCCGTAAGGAACAAAACTTCCTACAATTTAAGATCCAAATAGATAAAATCATCAGGACAAATGGGGGAACCTTTGACAAGCTACCGGCTTCGTGCCCCTCGTCGAAGCCACTAGCTAGTTACCCTTGGGTAAATTCGTGTAAATACATGATACTGCAGTACTGTATGTGTGATTCAATTGCATACACAGAACAGTTCTACAGTATCTATATCTATAAAAGAAGAATGTCTGTATGTTTGAGGCTGGAGGCTAGATGTTTGCAGTTAGCCTCATACAACTTTCCAGAATGGGAGGGATACAGGCAAAGATAAAAGACAGAGATCCAGACACTGCGGGTACCTCATCTAGTACTCTATAAGATACCCCGACAGGACTGTAAACACACATCAGTGGTGATCAACAGTATACAGTATATTTGTGACAATTTGGTCTGTACTATAGGGAACACTGTAGTCCATATGGCCAAGCTGTAGGTTATCTTCTGAAGTTATCTTGAGATGATTTCAGGGCTTAGTGTCCTCGACCAGGCCTCCTTTTTTGTTACACAGCCCCAGGAAGCAGCCCGTAGCTGCTGTCTAACTCCCAGGTACCTATTTACTGCTAGGTAACAGGGGCATCAGGGTGAAAGAAACTCTGCCCATTTGTTTCCGCCTCTATCAGGGATCAAACCCGGAACCTCAGGACTACGAATCTGAAGCGCTGTCCACTCAGCTGTCATGCCCCAGATAGACAGAGGCAGTCTATCTGTCAGGCATCTGGGTTGAGGTTGGTCACAAGTGTGCATCTTTGCAGAGTTCTTATTCTTGGATAGTCTCTAGTTTTGCAACTTCATTTCATAAATTATTTATTGCCATTCTGTAATTTATATAGAAAATATAAATTATGGATTATCATCATATTCTTCTGTGCTTCTCTGTCTAGTTATAAAAAAAAAAAGTGTGATTCGACTACTGGTCTATAGCTGATTAATACATTTACTTTTGTCACCCACTCAACATGTCTACATATTCTTCGACTGAACTTACAAATTACTGGCAATTTTTATTTTATGGTTTATTCTTCAATTACTATAGTTTAAAATACTTGATTTCAGTGATGTGTATATTATATATTTGGCATTTACAAGAATGTCAAATTCTTATCAACATTGCTATGACCCGTTGTTACTTGTAAATTTAAGAGGTTTAATAAATTATATTTATTGCAGGTAATTCATCGACTGTACTTGCCCTACCTTGATGATGAAATTCATCACTCAGGCTGGAACACCTGTTCTTCCTGTTACGATGATCCTACACGAGTCCGGAACAAACTCGTTTTGCCAGCACTTGGCTCATCAAGAGTATATGTAATAGATATTTCTGAAGAAGCTCAACCCAAAATCTTTAAGGTTAGATGAATGTTTTTTGCATTATACAGTATATATTTAGCTTTATTGTATGTACTATAGAGAATTTGCTTTGGCTTTAATATGAAGAATTTATTGTACAACTATATTTTGTACATCTCCATCAAGCTTCTTGTATCTTTTCACTTGACCATTTTTTAATTGAACAGTAAATGAAACCCAACTCTGATTACTGCCATTTTAATCTTTTTCAAAATGGTTTGGTACACCAGCTGTACATTAAAAATGGTTCAGTTGATATCCTTTATTTGTTCATATTTTACTTGAATATACAGTACAATACATGAATGCCACAACCCATCCCCCTCATACTGAAATGATGGTACAGTACTGTACTTATAGTAACTATTTGGTCGAAAGTACCAATATTTGGTGATGGAGTGCCAGTAAACCATTTTTTGTATTATTAATTTTATAGTCTAGAAAAAATACTGTAGTTCAAAGGCAAACCTAAATATTTCTAGGTCTAGTATAACATATATATATATATATATATATATATATATATATATATATATATATATATATGTCGTACCTAGTAGCCAGAATGCACTTCTCAGCCTACTATGCAAGGCATGATTTGCCTAATAAGCCAAGTTTTCATGAATTAATATATTTTCTCTAATTTTTTTCTTATGAAATGATAAAGCTACCCATTTCATTATGTATGAGGTCAATTTTTTTTATTGGAGTTAAAAATAACGTAGATATATGACCGAACCTAACCAACCCTACCTAACCTAACCTAACCTATCTTTATAGGTTAGGTTAGGTAGCCGAAAAAGTTAGGTTAGGTTAGGTTAGGTAGGTTAGGTAGTCGAAAAACAATTAATTCATGAAAACTTGGCTTATTAGGCAAATCGGGCCTTGCATAGTAGGCATAGAAGTGCGTTCTGGCTATTAGGTACGACATATATATATATATATATATATATATAACTGAAAACTCACACCCCAGAAGTGACTCGAACCCATACTCCCAGAAGCAACGCAACTGGTATGTACAAGACGCCTTAATCCACTTGACCATCACGACCGGACATAATGAGGTGATAGCCGAGGCTATTTGAACCACCCCACCGCCGGCACTCGGATAGTAATCTTGGGCATAGCATTTTACCAAATCACCTCATTCTTTGGGGCACACGTGAGGAACACAAATGCGAATTTGTGTTTATATATATTTATATATTTATATATATATATTTATATATATATATTTATATATTTATATTTATATATATATATTTTATATATATATTTATATATATATATTTATATATATATATATTTATATATATATATATTTATATATATATATTTATATATATATATTTATATATTTATATATATATATTTATATATATATATTTATATATATATATTTATATATATATATTTATATATATATATTTATATATATATATTTATATATATATATTTATATATATATATTTATATATATATATATATATATATATATATATATATATATATATATATAAATATATATATAAATATATATATAAATATATATATAAATATATATATAAATATATATATAAATATATATATAAATATATATATATAAATAATATATATATATATAAATATATATATATATATATATATATATATATATATATATATATATATATATATATATATATATATATTTATATATGTCGTAC